AGTACCTGAAAGATGTAAAATTTGAATCTGGACAATACTGGGTACGACTTCCGTGGAGACTGAACCATCCAGAATTGCCCACTAATTACAAAATGGCATATGGGCAGTTAAAAGCTCAGCTACGCGAACTGAGTAAGACACCAGAATTGTTAACTGCCTGTAATGATATAATTGCTGAGCAGTTAATTAATAAATTTTATGGAAGAGGTACGTCCGAGCAAGCCAAAATTTATGGTCACTATTTGCCACATCACGGAGTGGAAGAAGGATTCTAAAACCCCTCCTCTGAAATTGTGTTTAATTGTAGTGCCAGGAGTAACAAAAATGTACCTAGTTTAAATGACTGTTTGATGACAGGTCCGTCGTTTGACGGAAAAATTAGGAGATATCTTATTAAATTTTTAGAGTGAAGCACTATGCCTTTACGGCTGACATAAGTAAAGCTTTCCTAAGAGTGGGTTTACAAGAGGCTGACCAGGATTTGTACCCGCTTCTTATGGCCTGAGAATCCTATTGACCCACTTAGCCCTCTGAAAACCTTTTTGCTTTAAGACCGTATTATTGGTGCTACATCCAGTCCCTTCCTACTTCAAGCGACGATAAATGCACACCTTAAACGTATGGAAAGTCCATTGAGTTTAAAATAATGAGCAAGGGAATTTTATGTGGACAATTTCCTGGGGTGTGGGCGTCAACTGAAGAGGAACCTGTTAATGACTTATGGAGAGGCTAATAAAATAATGCAAAGTGCAAATATGCCTCTGAGAGAATGGAATAGTAATTCGTTTCCAAATTGAAGGACAAAATAAGTAAATATTACCCTGGAGATGAAGTGCCCAAAAAGTAGTAAATGTATTGGGATTAACTTGGATACTGAGAGAGATTTGTTTAATGTTAAAACCTAATAATTACAGTATGCCCAATAAATTAACTAAGAGAGTTTGCTTGCTGAAGTTTCCAAATGTTTTGATCCACTAGGTTAGTGCCACCCCTTACTATAAGAGGGAAATTATTAATTCAGGGAGCATGGAAACTTAAATGTGCTTGGGATGAAATTCTACCTGAGGAATTCATTAACAGGTGGGATGAATTAATTGGTGATTATGAAAAAATTCCAATGTTGGAGTTCCCACGCCAGGTGACCAATTCAAATTGGAAAAATGTGCTCCACATTTTTGTGATGCTTCCAAATTGGCGTATGGAGCAGTTGCTTACCTTCAATGTAATAGTGTTATTTCTCTTGTTATGTCTAAGGCTAAAGTGTCTCCAATTAAAATCACGTAACTTGCTTAGTTGGAATTAACAGCCATTTATGTAGGTGTCAAATTAGCTAATTATATAAGAAATAAGTTGCAGGTGATAAATATTAGCGACACTGTAATTTGGTCTGATAATGAGGTATCCTTACAATGGATTCGTAATGGAAACAGTAAAATTGTGTAGTACAAAAAAAGAGTCGCTGAAATTAATCAGATGCAAGAGAAGTATAATAGTTTGGGTACGCATATGTTAACATTTAATCATATACCTGGTGAGGAGAATCCAGCTGATTTTTGTCTCGAGGTTTACCTTATGCTAAATTTGTTTAAAAGCTGTATCATGGTTTTTAAAGGACCGAGCTGTTGGTAAATAAAGCTAATTGGCCTGTACAAAAGGTGTATATTGCTCCTGTTGAAATTACTGTGACCAAAAGCTCCAATAGTTTGTCCTTCTTTATCCATGATGTAAATAGGTATTCTTCTTTACCCAAACTGATCAATGTAACTAAGTTGGTGTTTGAATTTTTTAAACAAGATAATATTTCATATAAGTTTTCACATCCTCTTGAATATTGGATAAAGAGGGTTTTAGGAGGAAATCTATGGAAATGAGATTAAATTGATGATGGAAAGAAAAATTGTGAAAGGTTCTATAATGGAGAAATTTGGGGGTGTATTTTGAGAACAATGTAATTAGGTGCAGAGGTACGTTACAAAATGCTGAATTGGGTGATTATGCTAAAAAACCCTATCTTACTGCCCAAAACTCCTCATCTAACAAATTTGATTGTTCTAAATGCCCATAAAAATGTAATGCATGGTGGGGTACAAGATACCTTAAATTGTAAATTTGGGAAACTTTCTGGATTCCACAAGGATGGCAAAGTGTAAAAAAGGGTGATTAAAAACTTGTGTAATATGTCGCCGTGTGGATGCCAGATCCTATATGTACCCAGGTCCTCCACCATTGCCAAAGGAGCGTGTACAATTAGTGAACCATTTGATGTAACAGATGTAGACATAGTGGTCAATAAATTTTAACAGGTACGTCAAATGGTGTTCCACTGAAAGTGTATGTTTGTTTGTTCACCTGTACTGCTACTAGGGCAGTTCATTCAGAAGTGGCACAGGACTTGTCTGCAGAACAGTTTTACAGCTGTTCGAAATTTGCAGCTAGGAGATCCTGTCCAAGGTTGATGATTTCGGATAATGCCACAATTTTGTAGCAGGTGGCTCAACACTTGATAGAAATAAATAAAAGTAACGATGTTCAATCTCTGTTAACCCAGCGGGGTTGTACTGGAAATTTATTACTCCTAGAGCCCCTTGGCAGGGGGGAAGATGTACGAAAGACTGATAGGCACAGTGAAGAGGTGTCTTCTGCAAAGTACTACACCGGAAGACAATTAATTTGGAAGAATTCCGTGCAGTGTTGTGGAGGCAGAAAATCGTATAAATAATAGGCCTCTCTCGTACATGAGTGATACACGATGCAGATGTATTAACACCTTCTCACCTAAAATGTGGAAGGAAAATTTGGGAAACTGCCCCCGTCTATAGAGATAATCCGGAAGAAAGTGATGAAGATTACAATGATGCGACAGTGTTGTGTAATAAATTTAAAATGTTAATAAAGTAAATTGATCATTGGTCTAATTGTGTGGCGTAAGGAATATCTTCTTACACTACGTGAACACTTTTATGGGCGACAGAGGCAGTAAATCGACAGAACATTCAACCAGGGTGACATTGTTTAATTTACACTGAACAACATCGAACATTGTGGCTCCCGGGCAAAGTATTGACATTGTACCCAGATGCAGAAGGTGTTGTCAGGAAAGTCAAAGTGTTGTGTCGTGGCCAGGAAAGTTTACGCACATTAATAAATTGATTCCCTTGGAATTAGGTGTTCAATCAAACGTAAATGAAATCTGAGTGAAAATGTCACGAGTGATATGGAAGATAACGCAGACCAAGTGATGCCCGGGAAAATGAAATCTTAGTAAGACCTATAGGAGAACAGCCTTCAAGCCAGAACTGGCTGGGAATCGTCTCCTAAAGGAAGGAGTAATTTGAATAATTTAGCAACGAACTCCGGCCGGCCACAGTGTGGAAATACTATATATTTTTTTCCAGAAATTCAGTATTTATGTGCAAATAGAAGCCCATACTGTATTTAAAAATATTTATTGTCATAGAAAACGGGAAAACCTGCTTCTGCGCAGACGAGACTCGCCATCTCGGTTTTTTAATTTTTTTATTAGAAACGTTGGTGAATGGGGAAGAATTTTTCGTGCTCTAGAGGTTAAAATTGTGTTGACACCTCTCAAAAGGAGGCGAAATTGGTTTGGATGTGCATTCCTGCTAACTTGAGATATCAGACGACTGGACAAGACAGCTCCAGGAACCTCAGAAAGCTCTCTAGATTTGTGTGTAATTCTGGCCAGCATATTTCATAGATTTTGTTAGAGTGAGGTTTTCTGAGTTGATACACACTAATCTCCAGTCAAATTGGTGATGATATTAAGATATATTTTCCTTCTGTTATGTAATTGTGTATATATATAACCATTTATTATTTTTAATATACAGTCCACAAATTTATTATTTACCAGTATTCCCGGTGTATGTATATTTCCCTTTAATTAATAGGTCAGAGCAACTTGTGGTTATGACAGTGGTAGGTATCGAAGGGGGACATTTTTGCGACCTAGGTGTCCCAAAATTCCTACTTGTCTATGTAACTCTGATAAATAATAATTATCTTTGTTATCATTTTCTGTTATGTATATAATGAGTTACATTCAGATAAATGCAATTTTTCCACACCTCCACTACTGCTCCAAATTCCATCAACTGCAAGAGCGACCATCACACCACAGGCAGCTAAATGTCCCTCCATAAGGGGATCTTATCTAAGATGATTAAAGAAGACATTAACTGACGACCAACGTATGTTGCTGTAACAAAGCTCCAGATGCACACTATGAACATCCTGCAAGCCACTCAACAGACGCCACCCAACCACCACCTACTTCTCTCCACTCCCATATGGTGTTTCCACACAAATTTTATATTGCATGATGTTTCCTCGCATGCAAAATGTAACTGACCCTGGATCCCTTTAACAAGACCATTAATGACTCTTCTCAATTGACAACATGCCAGCCTTAAAATTCCCAAATTCATCCTTTAGGGGATATCTGAAGTT